GGAAGAGCGGGAGGAAGGGGGGGGAGGGACGAAGGAAGAGGGAAAACGCCAGGAGAGAAGGAGCGAAGAGGGGGACGGTTGATTAGAGGCAGAGAAAGAGAGAACAAAAAAAACAGAGACAGACAAGATAGGTAGAGAAAGAGAGAGAGAGAGAGGAGAGAGAGAGAGAGAGAGAGAGAGAGAGAACAAAAAAAAACAAAAGAAAGAAAGAAAGAAAGAGGGAGGGAGGAGGCAGGAAAGGGAAGGGAGAAGGGAGGAGGGAGAGGAGGGAGAGGGGATAAAGCGCCGTTGCTGAAGGAAGTCTCGGGCGTAGCCCACAACGGGCGGGCGATCCCCTGACGGGCGGGTCGGGCGGGTGGGACGCTCAAGCGGGATGCCTGAGTATGGCGAGAGCGCGATTACTAAGTAAAGTGTAACGGCGTCCTTGGCGCAGCTTGTTTCCTGAGCGTCGAAAGCGCGATTTCTGGATAAATTGCATGGAATTCACAGGCGAGAGCGCAATTCCTCAATAAAATGTGAGGGGCTGGCGGGAGCGGGGGTCTTGATTAAATTGCGAAGAAGTCTTGACTCAATTGCGAGGAAGTCTCAAGCGGGAGCGCCGTTCCTGAGTAAATTGTGAGGAAGTCTCAGATGGGAGCGGGGGTTCTGACTAAACTGCGAGAAAGTCACAGGCGGGAGCATCGATCATGAGTAAATTGTAAGAAGTCTCAGGAGCGGGGGTTCTGAGTAAATTTGGAGGAAGTCTCAAGCGGGAGCCGTTGTTGTTGAAATCCGGGGGGGCCAGGGGCCCAGTTTGAGCAGGAAGACTTCCCTGACATAAAACAGGGTGCGAGCGTCGAAGGGCACACTTTGATTGAGAAAAACAGTATGCACAACAACAACAACAACGACAACGACGACAACCCTAACAGCATCCTCAACATCCGCATCATGATCATCCCCACAACCAGCATCATCATCGCAACCACCACCACTATCATCATCAGCATCATCAGCAGAATCAGCATCATCATCCTCAACATCCGCATCATGATCTGCATCAACAGCGTCATCAGCAGCATCATCAGCATCATCACAAGCATCACAATCGGCGTCCTTGGCGTCACTCACAAAAGCATCACCATCATTAGCATCATCATCACCAGTATCAGCAGCATCACCAGCATCAGCAGCATCGGTGTCATCATCACTATTGCCATGATCATCCGCATCATCATCATCAGGAGCAGCATCATCATACTCAATGTCATCGGCACGTGCATCGTCGACGTCGTCGTCATCATCGTTACCATCACCAGCATCAGGATCCGAATCGGCCATACATCGGCAATAGCAACCTCATCATCAGCATCATCACCAGGGCCACCATCAGCATCATCATCATCATCGTCACCGTCAGCATCATAATCTTCATTGGCAGCAGCATCAGCATCAGCATCATCATCATTAGTATTGTCATCACCATCGCCACCAGCATCACCATCATCATCAGCAGCAGCATCATTATCGAATCATCATCATCATCATCATCATCATCATCATCATCATCATCATCATCAGTAGCAGCAGCATCATCAGCATCAACACAATCGTCCACACCCCCATCATCTTCATAATCCTCATCCTTGTCACGGCTCTCGCAAGTCTGGAGACGCGAGGTGCCACACGTGACGGCCTCCCCGGCCCGTGCCCCCTCGAACAATCGCCATCCAGAAAACTGGGCTGGTACGGTGGCGGGACTTGCCGCAGGCAGCTGGATCCGCCGCCCCCTTTTGATTTATCAAAGGGGTGGCGTGCCGAACTATATGGCTTTTGGTTTTGGTTCTTTTTCCAAAAGAACTCCCCCTGAGGTTCCGGCGCGTCCCGCCGGCCACCCGGAAGACCCGGTTGCAAACGGTTTTCCTGCCCCAGACGGCCCTAAGACGGCCTCCAAGACGGCCAAAATGCCTCCAAGACGGCCAAGATGGCCTCCAAAACGGCTCAGATGGCCCCAAGATGCCTCCAAGACGGCCCAAGATGTACCCTAGACGGCCTAAGATAGCTTGAAGATGGTCCAAGACGGCCCAAGAGGCCCCCAAGAGGACTCCAAGATGGCCCAAGAGGCCTCCAAGAGGTCCTCCAGGAAGGCCCGAAGAGGCCAAAATCATTGATTGTCCTAAGGTTTTTGAAGGATTTGGGCATTTGCTTCTTCTCGGCCTTCCGACGGCCCCAGACGGCCCAAGAGACCCCCAAGATCGCCCCAAGATCGCCCAAGAGGCCTCCAAGAGGGCCCCGTGACGGCCCAAGAGGCCTCCAAGACGGCCCCAAGAGGGCCCCAAGACGGCCCAAGAGGCCTCCAACACGCCCAAGATGGCCTCCAAGACGGCCAAGATGGCCTCAAAGACGGCCCCGAAGCGCCCCAAGAGGGCCCCAAGTCGGCCCATAGAGGCCCCCAATACGGCTCCCGACGGCGTCAGACGTGCCAGGAACCCACCAAGATGGCCGAAGTTGGCTCCAAGCTGACCCAAGACGACCCAAGAGGCATCCAAGAGGGCCTCCAGAAAGGCCAGAAGAAACCAAAATCATTGATTGTCCTTAGGTTTTTGAAGGATTCGGGCATTTGCTTCTTCTCGGCCTTTCGACGGCCCCAGATGGCCCAAGAGCCCCCGAAGATCGCCGAAAGATCGCCCAAGAGGCCTCCAAGATGGCCCCAGAACGGCCCAAGAGGGCCCCAAGACGGCCCCAAGAGGCCCCCAAGACGGCACAGAAGGCCTTTAAGACGCCCAAGATGGCCTCCAAGACGGCCCTGGAGCATTCCAAGGGGGCCCCAAATCGGCCCATAGAGGCCCCCCAACCGGCTTCCGACGGCGTCAGACGGACCAGCAGCCCACCAAGACGGCCGACCATGGCCCTAAGATGGCCCAATACGGCCCAAGAGGCCTCCAAGAGGGCCTCCAGGAAGGCCCGAAAATGCCAAAATTATTGATGTCCCATGGGTTTTTGAAGGATTGTGGCATTTGCTTGTTTTCTGACGGCCCGAGACGGCCCAAGTGCCCCCAAAGATCGCCCGGCCCCAAGAGGCCCCCAAGACGGCCCAAGAGGTCTCCAAGACGCTCAAGATGGCCTCCAAGACGGCCCAAGAGCCCTCCACGACGTCCTCCAAGAAGGCCCGAAAGGGTCAAAATGGCCTCCAGACGGCTAAGATGTCCTTCAAGATGCCCACGTGTTCCCCGAAGGCTTTCCAAACCGATTCGGGAACACATGGTCCGATAGCTTGGCAGGTCTGGCCTCAACGTTCGGCCACATAGGCGCTTCCAAAACGGCAGGGGGCGGCGGTGATTCGCCGCAGGCGTCTTCGATAACGCCCAGAGCACCAGTTTATGACTGGCCATCTGGGACACTCCTGGGCATTGGCGGCCTCAGTGGTCAGAACGGAGATCGTGGAAACCATCCTGGCGAAGGATCCAACCATGTAGTTGTGAGTGACGCAGTTGTGAGAGTCGCCTCTGGTGGCGCTCCGTATGGGGGCACGGAGCGGGCGAGGGGTGTGCCGAAATGGGGAGGGGGGGACGCGTGTGAGCCCTCCCACTGTGGCCATCTGTGGAGCTCCCTATGGGGTCACGAAGCGTTTGAGGAGTGTGCCGACATGAGGCATGGGCATGTGGACCCTGCCACTGGGGCCAGAGGTGGAGCTCCCTCTGGGGCCACGAAGCGTGTGAAGCGTGTGCCGAAATGAGGCGGGGGAACTCGTGTGGACCCTGCCATTGGAGCCTTTGGTGGAGCTGCCCATGGGGCCACGAAGCGTGTGAGGGGTGTGCCGAAATGGGGCAGGGGAACCCTGCCACTGGGGCCTTCGATGGAGCTTCCTATGGGTGCACGAAACGTGTGAGGGGTGTGCCTACAGAGGGCAGGGGGACGCACGTGAACGCTGCCAATGTGGCCTTCGGTGGAGCTCCCCATGGGGCCACGAAACGTGTGAGGGGTGTGCCGACATGGGGTGGGGGCCGCATGTGCGTACTGCCATTGGGGCCTTCGGTGGAGCTCCCTATGGGGGCATGAAACGTGTGCGGGGTGTGACAGAATGGGGCAAGGGGGCGCATGTGGACACTGCCACTGGAACTTTCGGTGGAGCTCCCAACGGGGGCACGAAACGTGAGGGGTGTGCCGGCATGGTGCCGGGGGACGCATGCGAACCCTGCCACTGGGGCCTTCGGTGGAGCGGGGTGTGCCAGAATGGGGCGGGAGACGCATGTGGATCCTGCAACTGGGGCCTTCGGTGGAGCTCCCAATGGGGGCACGAAACGTGTGAGGGGTGTGCCCACATGGTACTGGGGCCCTCGGTGGAGCTTCCCATAGGGCCACGAAGCGTGCGAGGGGTGTTCCAAAACTTGGCAGGGGGAAAGCATGCGGACCCTCCCCCTGTGGCCTTCGGGGCCCGACACGTGTGAGATGTGTGCCGAGATGGGGCGGGGGCACGCGCGTGGACCCTGACACTGTGGCCTTCGGCGTCGCTCCCTATGGAGGCACGAAACGTGTGAGGGGTGTGGCGACATAAAGCGGGGGGACGCATGTGGACCCTGCCAATGCGGCCTTCGGTGGAGCTTCCTGTAGGGCACGAAACGTGTGAGGGGCGTGCAGAAATGGTGCCGAAATGCTTGTGAGGAGGGCAGGGGCAGTGATTGGAGGAGGGAGGACGTGGAGGAAGGAGACGCGGGGCGCTATCTCTTCAAAACGAAGACCCAACACCACAGGATAGTTGGAACAGATCATGGTCAGAAACATCTCAATGATCAAATGATCCTGGGATCTGCTGAGGCCCACAAAAGGGGCGTCAATGAGAAATGTGCACTTCGCCGGCGCGACCTCACATAAGCAAATCCTGCGCAAGAGCCTTCAGAGTACTAAACGAATTCCCGGCGCCGTGCACGAAGCAAACGGAGTCCTGGGTAACCTTGTTTTTGAACCTCTTGATGCCCGCAACTAGTTCCACCTCGACGGGGATATTCGCGTCAAGCTTCATATTATGCAAGGACATCACCAATGTGCCGGCGAAATCGAGAGCCACTTTGTCGGTGTTGCTGAGGTAATACGCCATCGTGCCTCGAGGCACGAAGAGGAGTGTCATCAGTTCCCCTCGCATTCTTTGTATTCTGGGCTGGCCCAGGCGAGCTCAAGCGTTGTGTCGCGTGGCTTTTCTGGAGGCCTCGGGGGCGTGGTTGGGAGTCCATCCTTCACAGGTGTCCTAAGCTGGCCCCAAGGGGGTCGTCCTGGGGCTTTCTTGGTCTGAAAAGCCATGGAGGCTGGCCCAAGAGGCCAAAATGATTGACCTTACGCTGTTGTATGAGCGCCCAGCATGGCTCAAGAGGCCCCCGAGACCCCAAGAGGGCCAACGAGGCCCCCAAAAGGGACCAAAGAGACTTACAAGGGGCAGCTCGAACTGACATTCGGAACCCCCGCCCGAAGAGAGCCGCCGCGACAGCCATCAGGCCCCCAAGAGGACCCCAGAGGCCCCCAAGAAGCCTTCACAAGGCCCCCAAGAGGACCAAAAGAGGCCTCCCAGAGACACCCGAAAGAGCCACACAGTGGCCCACAGATGCATCCAAAAGGCATCTCGTCCACGACCCAGGCACGGTGGCGGGATGTGTCGGATGCCACTGGTTGGCTTGCCACAAGGGTGCCTGGCGCGTTGAACGCCTTCTCATATATATATATATATATATATATATGTGTGTGTGTGTGTGTGTGTAGAAAGGGAAAAACAGGAAGAGAGAGAGAGAGAGAGAGCAATTCCCCGGCTCCCAGCGCACCAGCAGCTCCGCCGAGACACATTGTTTCCTCTACTCGGTGCGGCGATCGACACTGCGAACGGTGCTAGCACCCCGTCCGGTCCTAAACGGCACGGGGAAGCGCAATGCCCCGGGAGGGAGGGAGGGAGCCGAGATTGCTATGTACACGCACGCGCACCAGCCCAAACTCAAATGTCAGAGTTGGTGCCTATGCTCTCGCATGCAGTTCCCCGGCTGCCAACGCACCAGCCGCTCCGCCTGGACACACTGTGTTCCTCCATATTCGGTGCGGCGATCGGCACTGCGAACGGTGCTAACACCCCGTCCGGTCCTAGCCAGCACGGGGAAGCGCAATGCCAACCACGACAGGCGGAGAGGGGAGGGGGTGGGCGCGGGGCGCGAGGTGCGTAGCCTCGCGAGCTGCCTGCGAACGTACTCACGCACATCTGAAATTGAAAATGCAAAGATCCAACAACGGCTCTGCCAGAGAGACGAATAGCCGGATGCGGTCGCGTGAGTGGGGCTCCAAGCTCGGAAGAAGAGTAGCCGCAACGATTTCTTGCAGATAGATCTCAAGCGTCCGCGCGGCCTGCCAGCGACCCCGCCACAGAGTGCGGGGCAGATCGTCCGTACACTCATAGAACCATGTGGCCCCCCCACCACGGTGGCTTGCTGGAGTGATGCCTCCGCCGTCAGTGGACGGCGCTCCGAAGAATTCGACCAGCGCATTATGAGCCGACCTGAACTGCGATGCGGAACCTGCCCAAAGGCGCTGCCCTGGGCGGAGGCGGGGCAGCCATGCCTCCAGCAGGTCGATCAGCGCCGGGTCGTCGAAGCGCACATGCTGCCGACGGGCGGCAACGCGGCGGGTCTTCGGGAGCCTGATGCGCATGTACGCGCGGGGGCTGGTGGCGAGGATGGCGCTGGGCAGAATGATGTCCTCTGGCGTCATGGAAGGGAGCTCGCCAGGGCGCAACATGGTCACGAAACACGAATGTATGAGGCACGCGACGTCGATCCGCCCCCACATCAGGGCCGAATACACAGTAGCAAGAGACAGCACTGGAGGCGTGGGCACGTGGTTACGTGCTGGCACGAGAGCGCGCCAGGCGTCAGCAACATCCCAAGCAACTTGAAGCTGACGCCTCAACGGGCGGCCCACGTCGACAACGGCGTTGATGGTGTCGACGTAGACTACAAGCGGCTCGCCAGAATGCTACAGAAACTGCCCGTACCCAGCCAGGGCCCTGCTCATCTCGCGGCCGCGCCAGCCACCAGCCAAAGCGCCTGGCCAGCGAGGCGCGGCGGGCCACAGCGCGCGGCGCCATAGAGCCCGAGCGCGGGCCAGGTCTGCTCGAAGGCGTGCCGAGGCTGGCAAGGCCTGCGGCCGTGGGCAACTCCCCGGGGAAGCCCAAAGTGCCGTCGAAGTCGCGCAAGGGCCACGGCCAGTTGCGCTGGGGCCGCTGGAGCGTCAGGAGGACAAAAAGAGTCGGGCCCAACCTGAGGTGCGCCTGCTCTGGCGTGGAAGCGAAGCCCAGAAATCGAAGGCCCGCAAATCCTCCTCGCACCGGAGGGCCAGCCAGTCTGCGCAGAGACCAGGGCGGCGGATCTTCCGGGCACGCGTCGGGTCATCTGCCGCATTGAGGCGCGTCGGGCAGCAGAGGCCTCCCAGGTAGTGGTCGTGGCCCACGATGTCTGGCACGGCCATGCGCAACTCCTCGTTCAGAGGCCTTGACGGTGACCTGCCCTTGGCCATGGCGCCCAGGCCGACTAATGAGTCCAAGAGGTAGACCTGGCGAGAGCCAGGACACGCCGCTGCCTGCCTGCGCATCCCCTGGGCGTACGCCCGGACCTCGCGAAGGTTGATGTGGTCGCTGTCGCGAGTTGGCTTGCAGCAGATTTGTGGATGCCACGACAATGGACACCCTAATAGTCCTATCATTGAATTGAACATGTGTTTAAAGTGTCGGAGACATGTTGTGAACATGGTTTAAACATGTGTTTTACATGTTTAAAACATGTTTGAAACATTGCTTAGACATCTGGAAATTATTTGGCAGCCTGCTTCCTCGCCATTAACCGACTTCCACAACAGTAGCTCTCATGCCAGTCAGCCCCATACCGCCACCGCATCAGACCAAGAGGGACTCCGCAGGGAACCCTGCCGCTACGGCGGAATCCGGCCCCGGGCACGCGGCGGCTCGCCACCGACCAGGGCGGCCTGCCGCAGCTCGTCAGCGCAGCCGTGCAGCGGCAGGGCCCATGCGTCGCAGAGCGCGTCGGGGTACTCGGAGACGCGCGCGCTGGCGGCTGGCCCAGGAAGGGTCCGCGGGCCGCGCGCGCGTCCATCGACAGAGGCCTGGACGTCCAGACCGCCACTGCCTGCCGCGCGGCGGGCAGGACAGCCCAAGGCCAGACGCGACCTCGCGCAGGGCCGGCGAAAGCCCGTGCACGGCCGCGCCACTGGGTCCAAGAAGCGCGCGCTCACCTGGCCCAGCTGGACGTCCTTCCGGAAGGCGCCCCCGAAAGAGCACAGCGAGAACCACCACGGGCTGCAAGCTGCGTGGCCCAAGGAGCTGACGACCTGCGGGACGAGCCACGAGAACGACTGCCTGGGGTAGGCCCAGCTGCCGGCCGCTCCGGGGGCGTTGCGCACGACGCGGAGTACGGCAAGAGTAAGCAAGAGGAGCTCGCTGCCCAGCAGCGTGCGCGGCTCGCGAGGGTCGAAGCCCAACGGCCGCGTCTGGGAGCGCAGCGCCGGCCTGCGGGCCCTGCTGAAGCTGCTGCCAGGCGGGCCACAACGGATGCACAGGACGCGCAAGTTGACGACGAGGAAGAGAATCCAATCCAGGAGCCGTCCCGCACGGAGATCCCAAGCTGGGCTGATGCTGAAGTCAATGCGAGGGCCGACGCGGAGCCCACGCCGGACGCACGCCACCAAGGAAGGGCTGCGCGGACCTGAGAAGATCTCCATGACACCGAAGCGCTCCACCAATGCCCGCTCGGGATCGCCCGCTTGGATGTGCTGCAGCTCGGCGCGCAGCGCCTCCTCGAAACCGCTGCGGTCGCGCTCAGCAAGTGCGTGGGCCGGCCACGCCGGTCCCGCAAGCGCCATGGCTCGCGATGCAGCTCCTGCCCTATAGGGGCGGATACGGCCGCCAGCGCGCTGTCTGAGGCATCCGTGGCCACGATGGCGCGGCTGGGGTGCGCCCGCACGTTGGCCGTCATCGCCGAAAACATGGCGGCCAGCACTGCGAGCTCCTGGCGTGCCGCTGCGGGCACCTCCAGGACCCGCGCATCGTCTGCGGGAGGGGGCAGAGCTCTGCAGGCGTGCCACAGGAGGCACAGCAGAGGTCGCCGAAAGAGGAGCACGAAGATTCAGGAGCCGACGATGGCCCGCAGCAAAGCGTCCGTGGCGCGGCGCCCTGAGGCCACGGTGTCGGCTACACGCAAGAGTGACCCTGGGTAAGAGTGACCTTTGGTGCGCGGCTTTTTGGGGGCCGCGGGGAGACCAAACCTGGGCGCGCAAGCCGCTGCTACCGCTTCGTTTTCAGCCACCTGAGGGCCCGTCTGCGCCCGCACCACAGGTCACTCCAGCGAAAGGTCACTCTTACGTCTAGTCGACCACGTAGGGGCGGAGGTCGGCCAGCCGCTGCTGGCGCAGCCGCTCCGCCCCCACTCGGCCCTCCTTCCCCAAGAGCTCGGCCCCCGGTGCCGTGCCCTCTGCCCGGCCACGGCGCTGCTCGGCAGGGTGCCCGACTACAAGCCCGCCCGCACGCGGGCCGATCCCGCCTGCTCAAAGCAGCGATGGAGCGAAGCGCTGCCGCTCGCCGAGGGGGCTGCGCAGCCTCGGGCAAACCCAGGGTAGAGTTGTGGATGCCACGACGAGGAACACCCGGACAGTCCTATCATCGAATTACAGATGTGTTTAACATGTGTAAAACATGTTCTAAAAATGTTTAGGATATGTTTGGTAATCACATTTAAGACATATTCGAAACATCTGACAATTATTTGGCAACATGCCTCCATCGTCCTCCACAAGGGTGGGGCCTCCTACCCCTGGTTGCCTCGGCCTCGGGTCGTCCGTGCGGGCCGGCTCGTCGTCCAGCGTCGCCTCGACGCGCGGCCCTGCCAGGAAGGAGCGAAGCCGGGCTCGCTTCAGCAGGGGAAGACGCCTCGCCACAGCTGCCCGCGCTGCGGCGGTTTACGTCGCCAGGCTCGCGCCGGGGCCCCGGCTGAGGCGCCCTCGGCACGTTGGTCAGGCTGACGTGGTCGTCGATGGCGAGCGCATGCAAAATCGGCCCGCGCGGT